AGAAAGAATTTCAGTAAACACCCTTGAATGATCAAGATTTTTTGTCAACACAGTACTGAAGTGAGGCCAATACGAGCTACAGAAGCATTCGTAGTTGACCTCCTTCTCTCTTATGAAGGATCTTAAAGCAGCTGACCTCAAACTTCTGTCTTCAAACAGGTCCCACTTCAAATGGAACCTATCAAAGTAGGAAGAACCTATTGTTCCGTCAAGCATCAATAAGAACTTGTGAAATGTGATCACAAGAGGGTATTTCATGTAAGGAATGCCAATAAAAGAGTTCGGTAAATCTCTAAACTGTGTCGTCCCATCCAAATCATCAATCTCAAGCAAGCTGTTTTCTGCTGAGAAACTTCCACCACAAGCAAAGCTGCAAAATTAAGATTGCACACCTCTAAATTGGATAAAATTAAAAACTTGGTTGAAGTTTGTAGCCACAACACAAACTCTATTTGATGAAAAACATGTCCGAACTAGTAAATCATAATCACATTAAAAAAAAACAAGCAGGTAGAAATGTGAAAACCTACGACTCCACCAGCTACAAATCATTTAAACTAGCTCACCATATTGTCAATTTTATGGAAAGAGTTGTTATCATGTGAATACCTTAACTACCTCTCCACGTTCCTTCTTTACTTGTTTATATACAGATGAAAGAAATTCAGAAAGGTTAAGAACACGAACTTTTCTAGGTTGAAAATTTCTTTTTGACAATAAAAGATTTAGGAAGGTCAAGCAGCAGAAGATGTTCAAAAAAATAAATGGTAGCACTGCATAATGCTTATGTCTTGGAATATTACGAGCACCTATAATTCAGATAGGATAAATGACCTAATGCCTGACGTGTAACTAATCGACATTACATTGCTATAATTCTTAGTACATCTGTTACAACGAAGATAATTTTACAATATTTAACATTACACTTCAGTTCAAGGTTTCAATACTCATAACTCATGAATAGTCAGCAAGCACCTCCAGTAAACTCAGACAACAAGATTAGAACTCACCTTTTCAACTGAGAAATCTGCTGTTTGACAGCATAACAAAGTTTTGGACTAACAGTCACGAAAAGTTGACGCAGGGTTTCCCTGATAGCCTCTCCTACACATTGATTATCCTCATCTGCTTCCCCTTCAAATTGATTTACTTCTTGCTTCCCTGATTTATTTAATCCTTCAACAGAATTGTGATGTTGTTGCTCCTTCTGCAATAACTTCATGGTCAAAACTGTGGTTTTCCCCGTGCCTGAGCGACCGAGGATGAAACTGCTTCTACTAAATTGGATTATATCCCTCTCTTCATTAGTAACTTCAAAAGGGAGATCTAATGCTTCACCATGGAGATCAGAGAGCAAATGATTGACAACACCAGATGATAATGAGTAAAACTTCATCAATAACAAGCTTTCACTGACTCTTGAATGTTCAACACAACTTCTACAATCTTCCGCACCAATTGATTCATGATTCAATTGGATCTCACTAGAAATGCTTTTATACTGACTTATCTCACGACAAAGCATCCAAATCTTCGGAACTTCCAAGTCCCTGTACAAACATGAGAAGGTTAAAATAAAATTTACAAGAAGCAATTGTCGTTCATCGTAATACTTGAATCTACAGAGCACAAAAGAATTAGTTTACCCCACAAGACACTTCTCCTTGCAAAGCTTAATGAATTCATCAGTGTACATTGCAAATATGTTATCAAGACGTTTCAACAACTTTGCAACCTCCTCCAAGGGCAATACATCCCAAACCTCAGCACTTGAGTATAGGTGGATTCTTTCTGAATATCAATGAGCAAACGACAAACGGGCCTTACAACCTTAAATTTGTTTTACAATTTGAGATGAGCTCTCAGAAATTGAATCCACATTCTTTTCTCTTGGGACGCCATCCACTGGCCAGCTTAACCAGAAGATTTATCACAGACTTCCTCAAGCGGGAGGACGTTAGCTTCACAAATGATTTTCTTAAAATTAGTCACTGAAGAGTACCTGAGCAACAATGTGGAAGACGATTCACCAGGACGGCCAAGTAGACTAATAATACTGTTGTATAAATAAAAAGAATGTATTTATGTGTGACAAATAATATTTAGCACCTTCAATGAGTGAAGCCGACACTAAGAAAGAACAAACTAATAAAATGGACAAAGACAGATGTTTGCATTGGCTGTAACTGATGCAAGTAGAACACACAAAACTTAGAATTATAGGTGCACCAGGCCAGGAGGAAGTATCGTGGTAATGCTAATGCAAGATGTCACTATACAAGTGAAACACAATTTTTCCAAATGAAAATGTGAGCCATAAGAAAGACAATATGCATAACCCGTAAACGTATCAAACATACTATATGAACAAACAACCGCAAGGGGGTGGAAACACATGGGCCACCTGTGACAATAATAGTAGGTACAACAATCCAAAAATGAAATATAATGTAATTCAATGGAAAATCTCTTGTCTTATTGCAGTAGTTTAGCAGTGAATAAATACAATACATTAGGTGCTAACTAAGGAAAGAAATTAAGATTGATTCCTATGAATCTGCAGTGATTCCTATAAATCTGCTACCTAAATATAGCTATGTATATTACTAGATTTAAGTCTATATACATTCTATAACACTCCCCCTCAAGCTGGAGCATATATATTAATCATGCCCAGCTTGTTACAAAGATAATCAACTCGAGTTCCATTCAATGCCTTAGTGAGTAAATCAGCTACTTGCTCTCTTGTCTTCTCGTAGCCAGTGGAAATCAAGTTTTCCTGAATCTTCTCACGAATAAAATGACAATCAACCTCAATATGTTTAGTTCTTTCATGATACACCGGATTTGAGACAATATGCAAGGCAGCTTGATTATCACACCAAAGTTTTGCTGGTGTATGATGTTCCAACCCAATTTCAGTTAGAAGATGATGTATCCACATAATCTCACACGTAGACTGTGACATAGCTCTATACTCAGATTCTGCACTAGATCGAGATACAACACTTTGCTTCTTACTTCTCCATGAAACTAGGTTCCCTCCAACAAAGACACAATAGCCTGTAGTCGATCTCCTGTCAATTTTGGATCCGGCATAGTCAGCATCTGCAAAACACTCAACACGAGTATGACCATGATTGCTATACAATATCCCAAGTCCAGGGGCTCCTTTCAAGTAACATAAAATCTGCTCCAAAGCTGCCCAATGTTTGACTGTAGGCGAGGACATAAACTGGCTGACAACACTTACTGCAAAAGCAATGTCTGGACGAGTCACACTGAGGTAGTTTAACTTCCCAACTAACCTCCTATATCTCTCGGGATCATCAAAGAGGTCGCCATCATCTTTCATAAGCTGCACATTGGGAACCATTGGAGTACTGCAAGGTTTAGCTGCTAACTTTCCAGTGTCTGCAAGAAGATCAAGAATATACTTTCTCTGAGACAACAAAATTCCCTTCTTGTTTCTATTCACCTCTATACCCAAAAAGTATTTCAACTGACCCAAGTCTTTCGTATGAAACCTAGTATGCAGGAAAGATTTGAGGGAAGAGATCCCCGCATAATCACTTCCTGTGATGACAATGTCATCGACATACACAACCAGTAAGATAGTGCCAACTGCTGATTGTCGGTAAAAGACTGAGTGATCACATTTGCTCATCTTCATCCCAAACTCCAGGACTACCTCGCTGAACTTCCCAAACCAAGCTCGCGGACTCTGTTTCAAGCCATACAAAGACTTTTTCAAATAACACACTCTCCCATACTCCCCCTGAGCAACAAAACCAGGTGGTTGCT